TCGCAAACTGAATATTCTGAAGGGAACTTACTCGTTATCGTATCCAAAGTGACCAAAAACCTTGCTCTCATTCTCATGTTCTGGCATGCCTTCGTCGATGGCGTCGTTGATCGCATATTCGAACGGGCTCATCGCTGCCGCAGCAAAATGCTCGTATTCCATATTTGGCGAGATGTCAGATGACCGTCGGGGACGAAAGTGCACGGAATGTGAATTTGATCGAAACGGATAAGGCTGAGGCGCAGTAGTGCGTTGGCTTGCTGACGTGCTTGAGATGGAGCGGGACATTGCTGACCCAGTCGGAACCAAGATACTTCCAAATGAACCGCGGGACGCTCGCTGCAGGGATGTAGACGATGATCGCTGACCGGAAGATACTGATGAGTATTGCGAAGCCGATCGCGACATGTCACCGTTCACCGGAACTTGTGTGTAGCCGATGGGGCTGTGTACTGTTTGGTGTATATTGGCACAAGGCTGAGCCTCAGCCTGGTGAGAGATCGAGTGTCGTGGTGTGCCGCCTATTGACGAGCAAGAGAACATCGAGTCATGTCGATGAGTTGTCGTTGGCGAAAGCAGCTGCTGGTTGTTTCGATATTGTGAAGCTGATTCGATTGTGTTCTGACCGTTGATATCGACACCAATTCCTTGACCGTTGAACAGGTCAGGCATATTGCCGCCCCCACCGAAGTATGTGTTGTTGTCCATGTGAGTGGAACTGCAGGATTGATATGTTGAGAAGTTGGCACTAAGAGGTAGTGTGAGATAGCTGTGGGTGTATCAGGAAAAGTGCTGGGCTCGGATGGACTGAGGTTGAGCATAGACTAGAATTTTGGTGGCAGCGTGCATCAATATAGCTTCAAGTGAAGCGACTAGGGCAAGCGCCCTGAACATTACTTTTTGAAGGACCTCTGTAGCCGGCCTGCATGTAATGAGCCTCGAGGTGGCTGTTCGCACTGAGGCATACCGAATTCCAAGGCAAACTAGGCAAATGGGGCTTACGCGGGTCTTTTGGCTGTGAGGGCTGCATGCAGACTGCGACCGCAGTCGATAGGCCGATGATCGTGATTGGACACATTGATTGCGACATGCGAGTACTATCTGCACGGTGAGAAGGCTGAGGAGTTGGCATGAAATGTAAGTGGGAGAGGTATTTTGGAAGTAGCCGCACGATCACATGCAAGCAGAAAACGGCAGGAGCACCCGACCGCCTCACCTTTCATCGAGGTCCTTCAAAACCTAGCCATCACTCCCCAAACTGAATTGAATCAAGTTCCTGTCATCCACGCCATGATGAATCGTTAATTTCTTTTGCTCATCTTTCGACTATTGGTTGACGTCTCACGCCTTCACGCTCCACACCTTGATGCTCGCATCGCCTCCCGCCGAAATGACCTTGAGACCCTTCTCCCATGCGACACCATTGACGCCATCCTTGTGAGCGTTGAGAGCCTTGATACGCTTGCCAGGGTCTTCTGTGCTCCAGACCATGACATTGGTGTCCAGACTGCCACTTGCGGCGTAGTTCTCACTCTCGTCCCAGGCCAGACAGGTAATGCGTGCGGTATGGGCACTCCATCTGTCCGTGATGACCTTCCAGTCTCCACCTACCTCAAATGCGTAGATCTTGCCGTTTCCAGCACCCACTGCCAGCTTCTTGCCTGAGGCAGAAAAGGCGAGTGCGGAGATGGGAGCTGTTGCACGGCGAAGCACTGTGTCGGTCTCCTTGAGCTCAGTGCCAGAAAGGGTGTAGATGTGTACTAGCTTGTCGTCTCCACCAACAGCAACGGTAGAGCCGTGCGCTGCGATTGAAGTAGGGGCAAATTTGACCGGTAACGAGCTGACCTGGGCGCCCTTGGAGTATACTGCGATGGCATCGGTAGAAGGAATCAGCACGGTGCTCGATGTCGCGGCAACGCCCTTGGGTTGGAATTTGAGATCGTGAGCCTCGCCAGTGAAGATCTTGTCTGGAACAGACATAGAGCGTAACGTGTCATCCCAGCCAACACTGTACAGCTCCGCCTCATTCTTGCTGTCGGAAGTCGTGATGCCGGCAACGTAACTCGAATGCGCTGCGCCTTCAACCTTGTCAGCCAATCCAGTTGTGGTGTCCCATGCGAGGACTCGGCCGTCATAGCTTCCCGTGGCAAAAGTAGATCCAGCGATCGCAGCCGATGTAATGTTCTTTGAGTGGCCTCGGATGATGCGCGTTGGCTTTGGGTTGCCGTCGACAAGGTAGTTTAGGTTTCCTTCGAGATCCACACTGACGATTAGACCATCACTGCGGCCGGTGGGCCATACCACACCGACCTGCTGGTCGGGTATGCTAGCGACGCCTTCCTCGCCCATCCTCCAGGTCTGAATGTTCTTGCCTGCTTCCGGGTCCCATATCCGGACCGTCTGGTCCGCACTGGCTGTGACGAACTTCTTTGAGTCCTTGGACCACGACACGCCGAAGATGCTGCCAGTATGTACACCCTCGCCAATCTGTCCCTTTGCCTCGCCAGTCTTGCCATCGTATAGCCATATGCGCTTGTCGGCGCCGACGCTTGCGAATACGGAACCGTCCGGGGAGAAGGCGGTGCCGAAGACGAAGCGGTTGTGCTGACCTCGCAGACTGGTGTTGAACTTGAAGGGGGCGCCGTGGTAGAAGACCAGGCTGGTATCGTCGGAGCCTGTGGCGGCGCGGAGGGGTCGTTGCTGGCGGATAGACACGCAGTTGATCTGTGACGAGTGGCCTGAGATTTCGCCCACGCTGTTGCCGCTGTCTGCCGTGATGCAGTGGCCGAAGCGCTCCTTGCCGTCGCCGACAGCTATGATGCGCTGCGAGTCGCCATCCCACGCCAAGTCGTTGATGCGGCCTGCGATGATGTGGTAGTCGCCTGCACCGCGTCAGCTCCCTCGCTCCATGTCCTGCTATGCCTCACCCACCTTTTGTAGCTCCTTCACCGGCGCAGTCCCACACCTTGACGGTACCCGAGACATCTCCACTAGCTACGTAGAAGCCCGAGGGCGAGAAGCGGGCGACCGTCGTCTGAGTCGTGTGTTGGGTGTATTGTTTGCTAACAGCCGGGTCGTCGATGGAGCGCAGGAAGACGGATTTGCCTGACTGGATACTCAATTAGCTCCGCGAAAGCTCTGGGTAGTTGGGAGACTCACGGCATAGGCAATGCGTTCGCCCTTGGGGTCCGAGGAGAGGGGTGTTGCCTGTCCGCGCGTTGTCGAGGGGGACGCTGCCCAGATGGCGTCTGTTTACGGTTAGTAGTTGCTGCGAGAAGCTATCTGGGAGCTCATACCTGATACTAGAGACATTGTGCGCGCAGCTCAAGGGACAGTGAGATAGCAAAGGGAATGGGTTACGTCAATTGCAGAGGATGTCTGCCTGTAGTTGGCAGCGTTGGCGGTGGCCTATGCCTCGTCACCGCCTACGTTTCAGCGACCAGCCACGAGTCGCGGGGCAGGTGGGGGTGGCTCCTTCCTGACAGCTCACCTGGGGGTAGCTACTTCACATGTTACTCCAGGTACCAGCTCTACATGTCAGCACCCATGATCCGCGTTCCTTTTGCTGATAGTCTGGCTTTGCTGCATGCTCAGCCAACATCGCATTCCATCATCGAGGCCAGGTCTAGAACGAAATACCGCCGAGACCACTATGTAAATAGCTCCTTCGATCAAGGATACATCCCAGAACCACATGCGCATGCTTGCAATTCACCGCTGACTGCATGGAAATATCTGGTTGCGAATTGAAGAGGCTGGCAGACGGAACAACCTTGGAATGCCCCAGCAGACCCTTGGCGCACGTCATTTCCGCGCGTTGCAAGTCGCGTTGAGATGTCTTCAAGTCTGAACTGATATACAAGCACATTCTGCATCATTGACTCTCTGTCTCGCACGTCGCCCATTCTGAACGCTATTCGCTTCCCTCGTTCGCTGTCGCGTCGTTCGCTGTACAACGTCATCACCCGGGAACCCGGCATCCGGTAGCCTACATCCTCAACATCATCATCACCAATCTCATTGCGGAAGAGCAAGGACATCAAATACCATCAACATGTGTCTCATGCGGTCTTACGAAACGCGCGGTCGTACCGTCATTGAACCACCTCCCCGACGAGGAAACTACACGTCCCATACACCAGCTGGCGTGATGCGGCTGCCGCGCGAATGGCGCCGGACTTCAGTCGAGAGCTTCAGCGACGACGGCCGCTACGTCGAGTACAGGTTCGTAATAACTTTATGGCACCATTGGTTGTCTGACACTTACATCATCCAGGCGATCGCGATCTCGTCCCCGTGCTATTGAGTACGTCGAAGAGCCTCGCATACGTGCAAGGAGCCGTGCGGGGAGTCGGGCGAGGAGTGTGTCCAGGCGACGCATCAGCGACGTTGAGATTGTCAGGCCAGCAAGGACCAGCTACATTGACCCACGTGGAAGTGGTTATGTGGACGAAAGGGTTACGAGGCGAAGTGTCAGCCGCGTGAGACATTGAGGAGTCACATCTCTGCAGACGAGAAAATGAGGTATGTGTGATCACAGAACAGAGCAAGCTCGTGCGTGCTAACACGCTCAGATTTTGAATTGAATATGTACATATGGGATACATAGAAGTTTTGTAATTACGAACGTTTAACTTTCAACAAACCAACAATGCTTGCGGCAAGAAATGTCCCGTGTTGCGCGCCAACTTCTTGAAGCCTACCCACTTCGAAGATCATCCCTTCAGGCCTAACACAACAAGCCATCTAATAGCTCAACAGCAATCTACGATGGAAATATTTCGGAAACTCCCATCCGGAGATAAATAATAGTGTACATCTTAGGGCGTAGCAACCCCTGCCGCTAACCGCTTCCGAGCTGCACTCCAAGGTGGGGCGCTATATCCGACTCATAGCTAAACTTCGTCATCGGATTTTGAGTCACGATGAGGGAACGACATACAAGTCTTTGAAAACAACGCTCATTCTCACTAATCTACTCATCGTCCCAATCCCACACCATGGCATCCAACCCAATGCAACGATGCTGCATCATCGGCGTAAAGCACTCAGGCACACCACAAGGCCAAATCAAATACATCGACAACAGTACACCTCCCTTCATCCCCATCCCTTAACCCTTCCCATCTAACCCACACCCCAGTCCGCACATACACCACCGCCCCACCCAACAACCCCTTCCCCTCAAACGCCATCCTCATCATGACCGACGTCCTCGGCATGGACTTCCCCAACACCCAACTCATCGCCGACCAGTTCGCGCAAAACGGCTACCTAACCGTCATCCCCGACGTCTTCAACGGGAGCGAAGTGCCGTTTCCGGCTCCGGAATCGTTTGACTTGCAAGAGTATGTTGAGACGGTTATGCCGAAGACTGATACTGTGGATCCTATGTTTGAGACGGTGATTAAGCATTTGAGGGATGAGTTGGGGATCAAGAGGTTGGGCGGTGTGGGATATTGTTTCGGCGGGAAGTACGTATGTCGGTTTTTGAAAGAAGGGGGGTTGAGGAATGGGGGGATTGACGCGGGGTTTACTGCTCATCCTAGTTTTGTGGATGTGGATGAGGTTAGGGGTATTAGGGGGCCGTTGAGTATTGCTGCTGCAGGTATGACTTTTTGATTACAAAACTCGCTTTTCATTCATTGCGTCCATTCCATTCATCCCACCTACTCCAAAAAAACCAAACTGTCAAAACAGAAACACAAACAAGAAGAACGCACTAACAACACCAACAACAACTCTAGAAACCGATTCCATCTTCCCAGCTGAGAAGCGGCGCGAGACGGAGGATATCCTCAAGGACCACACCGTTCCGTACCAAATGTTCCTGTATTCGGATGTCGAGCATGGGTTTGGCGTTAAGGGGGATTTGTCGCATGCGAAGGCGAGGTTTGCGAAGGAACAGGCTTTTTTGCAGGCGGTGGGTTGGTTGGACGAGTATGTTAAGAAAGCGCCGGGGGTGTAGGGGACTTTTCGGGGAGGTTGGGGAAGTTCGTGAGGGTGTTGGCCAGGTGTGGTATGGCTGTTTCATCAGCTGAGTGTGCGTCTTGGAGGACGGTGTCGTATTCGTGTAATGTACATTTGAGCCTTGTGATCTCATCTGGTCTGGCGAGTTGCTCCAAGTTCTCAGTCGTGTACTTCTCCAGCCAGATAGGATCCATCATCTCGACATCGATACTAGCATCCGAAAAGTCGCAGTACGTCCGTACGAAGTCAACGATCGTGTCGATCGAAGCCAAAACTGCTGAGAGCACCCAGGCGCAGAAGCTGATGGCGAAGTATGTGAAGAGGAACAGAGTTATCAGAAGACAACCCCAGAGATAGCCTGTGAGGATACTGTCGAGTACTTCGTTGGGTTGCGGCATGGATGTTGATGGCCGGAACATGACCGCTTGGTGGGGGAAGAGAGGTGGCATGGTCGTGAGGTGAGGCGGTAGAGTAGGTTCGGTTGGCTTCTGAGACGTAAGACTGCGATGAGGCGTGCTGACGACAATGTACCGAGTGTAGCGATGTCGGTGTTTGTAGTAAGGCTAGCCGAAGACGATTTACCGTTCGTAGCAATATGAGTACCGAGCAATGGTGGGTGTTGGACCGCGATGGTTGAGGTCGGGATTTGTTTGCGAGAACACGCGAGATGGCTAGAAGGCTACAGCTGCGCTTGCCTCGTCGTCGAGAGCCGCGCCTTACGACCCGGGTCTATCCGTAAACACTTCTCGTGTTCAGGTGATAGATAGAAAGTGCTGCCTTGGTTCAAGAAGAAGGTGCTGACACGCCATTTTCAACCACCATCTTTACCATCTGGTCATCGTCTTTCGAACTCCCCCCTTTATTCTGAACTTTCTCCGCCCAAGGCGGCTCACCATCCTCATCAAACTCCGCCCACTGAAAAAAACCACAACTCTCCCTCCCCGGCACATAACCCGCATGGCACATCCACATATACCGCCCCCTCGATTCCCTCTTCCTCGTCGCACACCTCAACACAGTCGAAACACCACACTTGCATTTCGGCGTATACCTCGGATGGAGGCTATCCTTGTAGAACCGATACGTGATATTGAGACGCTTGTTCTTCGCAAGCGGATGAGGATCGATAGCTTGGGCCGGCGCAATCGAGTGTTTCCATTCTTCTTGCATCTCAGCATGCATGACCAGGAGCGAGTTGTGTGGTAAATGAATGCTGATTTGGCCTTGTGCGTCCGCGAGAGAACCGTCGTCTTTTCGGTGCTTGTCGTCGTCTTCAGCGACGGTCTTGCGGACCCGGAATTCGCGCGCTACGCCGAGGCTTAGACTGCCGATGATGGCTCGTGGACCGAGGTAGGTGAGTTGGTCGGCGTGGTATCCGACGCTTTCTTGTGGTCCGTCGTAGCAGTTTACAAAGGCGGTGTTTGCTTTCCAGGGGTGAGGGGATTGGTATCTGAGTTTCTTGCCGTTGGGGTAGAAGTCGCGGATTCTGCGTTGGATTTCGCGGTTGACGGCGTCTTCGACTTGGGGGCATGCGTTGAGCATTTCTGGGAGGCTTTGTCGGACATCCTGGATGGGATTAGCATCTTGGTGGTGTTCTTTGTCAGCGGTCCTTACCTCGATCTGGCCACCGTTGTAGATGTATTCCGTCTTTTGTCTTTCCGCCTCTTCTAAGCTGTTGACGTAGAAAGAGTACGTGTGTGGGCTTACAACAACTCTGTCGAACAGCTTGAACTCGTACCTGTCGTAGGTCGACGAGGCTTCTAGTAATTGTGACAGCAGTGCATCCGCTTGCTTTACCGGAAGGAAATTATGTATGATTGAACAAGGCGTATGTACCTCGATGTCTTCTGGGCTATAGAGAAATAGTGTCTTGCCCTTTCTCACAAGTGGCTTCTTGTTTAGGGTTCCATTGGCGGGAGCCATGCGATACGAGCTCAGGGACGATTGATAGCCCACTGTCGATGATGCGGGTCGCTTGCGTGGGGATGTATGAGGTCGTGATAGACACTCCGAGGCTTGTTCAACGGCCCCCTCAGCAGCGAGCAATGCTTCAAGCAGAGTCCCTTCATCAACCGTTGGATGCAGCGATGCCAGCAAGGCCAACTTGAAATCGGTAGACTCTTCTTCTGGGTCTTTAGCCTCCGAAGGCCGCGTGCTCGTACTCGCCACTGACTTGGGCGGCCCCCCATCCCACTTCCTCTTGCGCGACACGAACGCGTCCATACCGACTGTTGTGGGTTGCAATGTTACTCATGATGCACCGCTGAAGTAGATGAAGTTCTTCATCAGTGGCGACTGGCGTAAAAGAAGACGCGCTGTCACGGGACAACCTCCGGCGCCACACCAGCCCCGCCAGAATCCAAAGGCGCCTCGGTCAACCGACACCTCGTCATCCGCAACCATGCTACAGCACAACATCCACTCCACGTCTCGGCGCGACATGACGCGCCGTACCATACCTACCATACCTATCCTCCACGCGCCATAATACCATATCCACCCCCCTTCACCACCCACGATGCTCGAGTTCCGCACCCAAGGCTTCAACGGCTACTCGGTCAAATACAGCCCCTTCTTCGACTCGCGCATCGCCGTCGCAACATCCGCCAACTTCGGGCTCGTCGGAAACGGACGCCTCTACATATTAGGTCTTACAGCGAATGGCATCGTAGCCGAGAAATGGTACTTCCATCACCCCTCTTCCACCTTTCCACCTTACTATCACATGCTAACCCGCCCGTGTCCCCAGGTTCGACACGCAAGACTCCCTCTTCGACAGCACGTGGTCCGAAGCACACGAGTCCCAACTCCTCACCGCCGGCGGCGACGGCTCGGTAAAACTCTTCGACATAAACGTGCCCAACTTCCCCATCGCATCCTGGCAAGAGCACGCGCGCGAAGTCTTCGCCGTCCACTGGAACCTCGTGTCCAAAGACACTTTCCTATCCTCATCCTGGGACGGCACAATCAAGATCTGGAACCCAAATTCCGAGGCGAGTATAACCACCTTACCGACGCATTCATGTACCTACAGTGCGAGTTTCAGTCCGCACAGTCCGAGTGTGCTGTCAAGTGTGAGTAGTGATAGTCATTTGAGGGTTTTCGATCTGAGGACGCCGGCGAGTGCGAGTAATCACTTGACGATGAGTGTGCCGATTCATCAGCCGCCGACGGCAAGGATGGGACATGCGCCGGGTGTGGGTGTTGCGCCTGCAGAGGCGTTGACGCATGATTGGAATAAATATAGGGATACTATCGTTGCAACCGCAGGGGTGGATCGCGTGATACGCACGTTTGACATAAGGATGCCGCAGCAGGGACCTGTTGCTGTTTTACCAGGACACGAGTATGCGGTTCGGAAGTTGAGTTGGAGTCCGCATTTGAGCGATATATTGCTTAGTGCGAGTTACGATATGACGTGTCGGGTGTGGACAGATGGGAGTGCCATGGGTGTGGGGAGTGTGAAGCAGGAGAATATGCTGGAGGATCCTATGTTCTATGGCGGGGGTAGGGAAATGGGGAGGATGGGGAGGCATACCGAGTTCGTTACGGGTGTTGATTGGTGTTTGTTTGGCGCGGAGGGCTGGTGTGCTAGTACGGGTTGGGACGAGAGGGTCATGGTATGGGATTGCCGGGCCATCATGCAATGAAATGACGACGTTCCATGCAACATGCGCTCGACACTGAGATATATCTATTCTCCATTCCCTACAAAAGTAACAATGCTCAGCGAGATACATCGCGAGTCATAATGCCGACCACCAACTCAACGAGACAACAAGCAAAAGACAGGGTATCATCCCATAGCTACACCCAGACACCGAAATGCAAATCCCACATGCGCCGCCCAAATGCCGAAGCGCAGAAACGCCTCTATGCTCCTTCCTTCTATCATCCGCTTTCATGACCTTCCTGTAGGTCTCAGAGGTTCAGAATATCCTCAAGAGCACCGTCCATCTCTTGCATGTCTTGTGCGCTGTCTCCTTGCCAGTGCATGCCCACTGTATCGTCGAGCTGCATTGGTTCGCCGGAGTCAATTTCATGGCCTTCCTCCAGATCCCCGACGTTCAGAACATCGTCAAGCGCATCGTCCATCTCCTGCGTGTCTTGTACGCTACCTCCTTGCCAATGCATGCCCACTTCATCGTCGCTCTGGATCGAGTCGCCAGGGTCAACTTGAAGACCTTCCTATAGATCGCCGAGGTTCAGAATATCGTCAAGCGCATCGTCCATCTCTTGCATATCCTGCACGCTGCCTCCCTGCCAGTGCATGCCCACTTCATCTTCAATCTGCATCGGGTCGCCAAAGTCGATTGTCCAAGTCTCGCCGTTGAGGTCGTGCTTAATCCCATTTGCAATGCCATTGATACCGTTCGTGATCGCACCATTCGTAAGCGGTTTCGCGGGCGCATTATAGATATCCTCGATGCCGTGCGTATCCAGAAACCTCGAGTTCATTATCGATCCTGCAATCAGCGGTGTTTGTCCGAGGTACGAGTCTCCGAGTTCCAGCGCGAGTCTCAAGTCCTCCATACACAGGAGTTTCCTCTTTCGTCGCTCTTCTGCTTCGACGGGGAGTTCGCCGCCGATGCCTCGGGCCAGCTCGCCGCGGTCTACTAGTCTTTCTTCTCGCGCGAGCTTCTTCTTGAATTCGCCTGTGCGCACGTATCCAGGGCCGTTGCTGCTCACCTTGCCTAGTAAGTTTGCCAGTGCTTCTTTTATGTATGTCTCGGTAGCGATGTTGAGGTAGTCTGGGCAATCGGACGTATGGCCCTGAGGCAGCCCGAACTCGTAGCATATTGGTAGGAGGCGGTAGGATATCGTCGTCGCGGTGGGGAATTCGTGTGTCTCGGCGTAGAGGGCCGAGGTATACCGTTTGCGAATCTCGAGTTCCCAGTCTGATGACGAGTTGTTAGCATTTCAAGACATAGAGGAATGGTATAGCAAATGCCGTGCACGTACTCGTCTTTCCAAATCCACCGCCCTGGTTGCTGCTCGGCCCAACATCGAGTTGCTTCGCCCGTCTCGCATCAACATACTCCTGCACCGGCCCAGCAGCACCCGCGCCCAAGCCCTCGAGCCCCGTACTCAGCGGGCTCTCACCTGCCGGTATGCCCTTCAGCCGCTTCCTCTCCCTCCGACTCAATTGCATAACCTCGTGCTTTAGTCTCTTCTCGCTCTCGTCCCCTGTCCCCTTGACCGTCCCGCTCGTCGGCTTATCACTACTCGACACCCAACTGGCGATGCCTGCTTCGGGCGGGTCGCGCCATATGTTAGCGTAAATCGCCGTGAAGAGCGCATTGTGCGCGTGTTCGAGGGCGGGCGTGGTGAGGATCTTGGACAGCTTGTGGGACAGCTCCTCCTGGTTGAGGTTGCCGAGGAGGAAGAAGGAGAGGGCTTTCTTGTAGATGGTCCAGTCTGCGTCGCTTATGGAGCCTTTGACTGCGGCGTACAGGGGCTCGACGTCGACACGGGGGGCGCGCGGCGCGTTGGGCTTCTTGGTGAGGTCCGTCTGGAGAGATGCGAGGCTGGGCAGGGTGCCCGACGAGAGCGTCGGCGTGGTGGAGACATTCATGTCATTGGGCCGTATGGTGCCTGCCATGATGGCGGTGGAAGCGCGCCGTGGTGGCGCTCAATGCGTCGTGATGTGCGCGTTGCGAGGTGGTCGCGCGTTGGACAGATGCGCGTGCGGGCTGTGGAGAAGGCTGAGGGCGGCGGGAGAGCGACGCCGGGGTCTGCGCGACGCTTCAAGAGTGCCAGCGGGGTCGCACGCGTATGCAATGATGGTCCCCGATGACGGGCAAGGAATGCAGGCGTTGTGCGGGGCCTACGCTGATGGACAAGCATGCAGTCGCGGAGAGCGTGAGGTCAGAGCTCGGGGGTTTGCGGAGTTGATGCTGGGGCAGCCTAACAACTTCCACGAGCCCCATGAAACCTCCACCACATGCACACTTGGCTTCAGTCCCAGAACATTCAATGTAACTTCCATTCGCTATGCACCTATATACTAACATGATTCGTTTTCACATACGCTCCCGTCCCAAGGCTAGTGCAGTCGCTTTTATGCCCTGTACACCGTCCCATCCATTGTACGGTATCGCTAGTTTTCACCAAACACATCTCCCAACTCTACTTTCCCTACGCTCCAAATCTCTCGCTCATCTTCCATCTCGTCGCTCGACAAGCCGAGACCTCCTGCGCCACCTTCGGCCTCCTTCCTCTCTCTGGCTTGCCCAGCCAGCCTCATGGCAACCCTCTTGAAGTAGTCGCCCATGCTGCGCTGTTGACCAGCAGACAGGCTCTTGCCAGGTCCAGCCATGTACTTGTCGAACACGGCCGTCTCTTCGTCCACCACCGAGAAGATGGCAAGGAACGCCGCTTCAGCCGACAGCTTGACTGGAATCACCGGATCGCGCACCGATGCGAAGACCACCGGTATGAGGAGCGGGATATGCGGACGGATCAATTCGTTGTGCTCTCGAGCAACTGTACGAAGCACCACAAGCGCCAACCGCCTCGTGTCGACGGGATGGCCAGGCTCCACTACTGGCGCAAGAGCCTCGAAAATGGGCTTGGTATGGTCGAAGCTCTTGCTGCTCTTCTCCGACAGTAGGTATTTGCCGGCGGCGAGGATCGAGTTATCCGAGATGAACGGTTGCGAATGTCCAACACCCTGGCAGATGACACTCACAGTCTCGTCTGCAAACGATTCTGTCAGAGCCTCGGGAGCATCTAGCAGAATGGCATTGAGCGCCAGTACAGAAGATTTGTTGTAGTGGGTCGTAAGCACGCGAGCCTTGAGAAGACTGGACGCGACATCCTCTGGAAGGCAGCTGATGAGGGCACCCAGAAGTCGAGCGTTTGTAATCGCCATTGCATCTACCCCATGTTAGTCATACTGAGCAGGATCAGAATCAGTCTAAACTTACCATTAGAATCATCGCTCTCGTTGTCGATGAGACCTAGGATGGCGTTTCTGCTTGCTTCGCTCATGTTCTTGCCTGCCTTGCTTACGACCTCAAACAAGGCCTTCAGCATAGCCGTCTTGACATTTTCGTCGCTTGTCTTGGATCCCGTCACCAACTCAGCGATGAGCGGGTCCACCCTTGGTGTAAGCTTGATCAATGTACCAAGAGCCTTGGCTGCTCGCGCTCGCAGTACATCTGAGGATGTATCGGCAAGCGACTTAGCGAACGTACGCTGGAGTTGGGGCAAGAAGGGCTTGAGGAAGGTCGGGATCTTCTCTAACAGGTTGTTGAGTGTGAGCAGAATAGCTGCCTTTACCTCGACAGATCGCTCGGTGACCACACGGATGAGGGGTCCTGTAATCTGAGTAACAAACGGCTGGAGTGACTTCGCGCTGGTGCGGTCAATGACGTCGGAGATGGCCAGAGCAGCTTGAGTTCGCTGGTCCACCGAACCGTTCATGAGACCCTGCAGGAAAATAGGCAGGATGGCGTTGATACCCTTCGGCAGTGAGAATCCAGGGAGGTCTGCACCAGCAACACCAACTTGGTTGAGTGTTTGGCGAGTGGAGATAACAAGCGATTCCATCTCTTCTTTCCGCAGACGCTTGCTTGTGAGAGTGCTAAGAGCAGTCCATGCAGCCTTGACGACTTCGGTATCACTATCGCCGAAGGAGATGAGAAGTGCCCGAATGAGGTCAGGGTAGTATCGAGAGAAATCGACGTCTGCCTCAGCGAAGAACTTCGCCAGATGTATGTCGGCACGTGCACGTCTCCGCTCATCGTCATGTTTCGACAAGGCAAGCATGACGCTCATGGCCGTATTAAGACCATCAAATTCATCCACAGATAAGAGGACCTTGTCGAACGATGTTTCGAGCTCTGAACGGAGTTCTTCGTCCTTGGAAGCGATGACATTATCCATGATTGTGTTGAGAATGTTCGGCAGTCGTCGGGTCATAGCAGAGCTTGCAACTTCAGCCAACGACGCAATAGCGCGGGCATTGAAGGCAGTCATAGGCGAAGTGAGAAGTGTTGGTAGGAGATTTGGTAGAATGATGTTTGATCGTTGTTGATCTGTGAGGAGGGTGAGAAGCGCTGATAGCGCGTTTTGCGCATCGTCGTCCGAACGCAGAAGATTGAGCAGGTAAGGTAGGACCTGGTCGACAGCCCTCTTGCCAAAGATTTGTTGTAGAGCGTCGAAGGCTTCCGCCGCTGCTTCTCGCACATCCGCGTTGGGATCCACCAGAGCAGTCCGTACAACTTGGATAAGAGTCTTCTCGTAGTCCTCGAGTTGCTCTGGCGAAGCAGCTGCGATGATTTCGCGAAGGGCGATGCAGATACCCTGCTTGGCGTCTGTATCGGTGGTATGTAGACCTTCCTCGAGGGTAGGCAACAATGTAGCAAGTACACCGTCTCCAGCTTTGCGAATGAGCTCTCCCAGCGCGTTTCCGGCGATGACCTTCTGCTCCATGTTTGAGCTTGCCAGACGGCGGATGAGAAGTTGAGTAAGCGTAGGAATAAGCTCGCGCAGAGTACGAGGACTGGCCACCAATGCCTTCCATACGTTGATGGAGGCTGTTCGTACAAGGCCAGACGTGTCGAATCTGCAAATGTATAGAGCAGACAGGACCTTGTTGCGCTTCTCTTCTCCGAGGACTTCGAGTAGCGATTGACCAGCCTCTTTCGCGCCCTCTTCCACCTCTTCCTCTTCCACCTTGCCGCTGATACCTGTGAGGTTGAACAGCAGGTCTCCCACAAGCTCCACGGAACTGAGACGAATCCTGTAGCTGTCATCTGCGAGACCCCTCTCAAGCTCTGGTAGCAGCAGGTCGATTGCCTTGGTGGCAAAGTTCTTGACCAAGAGACGACCAGCTCGTAGGGCAGTTTCTCGGATCGATTCCACTTCGTCCGCAAGACCGCCGAGAATGGGAGGAATGATCTTGCTGAGGTAGTTGGCGAAACTGTTTCCGAAGCAAACTGGCAAGAAGATGAACAGAGACATGAAACCTTCGCGGACAGAAGCTCTGCTGCTGGCCACATTCTGCAGGATGCTTGGCAGTGTCTCTTCCAGACGTCCGGTTCCGAGACCTGCAAGGACCTCTGACAGAGCTTGGGCAGAACCAAGTCGATCTCCAGCACCGGTATCGGACTTGAGGGTAGACATAAGACTTGGGATA